ACTTACATACAAAAGGTGTTGGGTTAAGCATATAGTCTTCATTCAGAATTTCATACCTTTGTGGGTTTGACTTGAACTTAATTTGGTTCTCTCCTCCTTCTCTACTATGTATGCTCCATGTTTCCATCTTAGTTTTTAGAATCTCTCCATTTCACTCACAATTAAGAGCCCATATTGCAGCAACCATCAATCCAAGACAAGAACTGTATACCATTCCTATAGAGGGGGTATTTCCCTTTCCCAAATAGCATGGGGAGTGGTGTAGGGGAAGGGCTGGGAATTTAGTGCCATGTCTCTCACAATGCACTTCAGACCACAACCATTACGCTAACTTTAATGTAATCCTGACACCTGGTGTGTTTAATATGTACAGTTATTTTACATTTCACTATATAACAAAAGAATGACTTGATACTCTGACTCGTGCAATTTCCCCAGAACTAGCCATTGCAGTTCTCAGACAACAGAAACTTTCACCAACACCTGCCCCCCTGGAAGATATCTAAGTAAATCCTGAAATAAAAGTTGCTGTATACAGATAAATACAAATTAGGATGGGCTAGTTGGAAGAAAGCCATAACTGTTGGGAAGCCTTCAGATTCCCCACCCTCATTTTTCCTAGCAATTTTCATTTAGACAAACAAGCAGTGGCTAACGCCAGCCAGCCTGCACGTAATTTTAAGAAAGCAGGATCTTTTAAAAAAAAACCAGAGGGTGTGTCAGGAGGCAATTTAAAAAATAAGTAAATAAGTTTGCTGCTAAGGGGATCAATGACTTTAGCCTCCAGTACATGAAATGCAAATTGTAAAACTCATCCACACTTGGATTTTGATCAAAGGAAGAATTGTGTTTTGAACAACCAAACAACCTCAGGTGTCAGAGCAGCAGCCGTGTTAGTCTGTATCCGCAAAAAGAACAGGAGTCCTTGTGGCACCTTAGAGACTAACACATTTATTAGAGCATAAGCTTTTGTGGACTACAGCCCACTTCTTCGGATGCATATAACACAACCTCAGGATGTTATAGAGCCAAGTGGAACATAAGGGCTCACAGGATTAAGGACAAGTGTTCCAATAATTATTTTTAGTTTTAGCTACACTTCTCAGTTAGATATTTACTTCAGCTAATGTACCATTTCTTTTGTATTTGTCGCTAAATGATGTGTGTGGAGATACAAGAGAATATATGTCACACATGGAGTTTTTAAACCCATTGCTACCATGAATACGTCACAGAATTTTGACCATCAAAATTCACAGACATGTCAATTCCATGAATTTTTTTTTTTAAATCTACACAAAAACTCAGGTGAAACATTAAGATGGTGGAGTAATGTCTGAAGGAATACATTCAGGCACACTAAGGAGAAAGTATCAGAGGGGTAGCCGTGTTAGTCTGGATCTGTAAATGCATCTGACGAAGTGGGTATTCAGCCATGAAAGCTTATGCTCCAATACATCTGTTAGTCTATAAGGTGCCACAGGACTCTTGAAACTTCAAGAGCCTTTCACCAAAATGCCATGTAGTTACCTACAAAAATGGACTTAAAAAAAAAAGACGCAAGCTAGGGATCAAATTTATTCAGTGGAATCATACATTTTAGATCAGCTATTGCACTTGCCAAGATGTAAAGATCCTCTATGTGCCCAGATATAGGTCTTGATTGCCGTCTACATGCCCTACATCACATCTTGAAAGCTTATGAAATTGTCGTCTATTATGGACAGAGAGGTGGGGAGCAGGGAGGCAGAGATACTACTTGTAAAGTCTGCAGAATTGTTCAGATTCATCTTCCATATGTAAGAAATGCCAATATTTTACTCCTCCACTTAAAAAGCATGGTCAAAACAATATAATCATAACCTATACTATCTGTACTTGGTAATCTAGGACCTCATCCAAATCCCATTGAAGTCAACTGAAAGATTCCCATCAAAACTTCAGTGGGTTTTGAATTAGGCCTCCAACACAGGGACATTCTTACACAAGTAAGCCTTCCCTCCCATTTAGAAAATAGAAAAATCCTACCATCATTTGCTGCAGCAGAGATACCATACAATGAAGGGGTGTCTCAGGTTTTCTATATATATAAAAATTTTTTTAAAAACAAGCTCTCTAGAAAGCTGAGCATGGATTCTCTCCCTCAAAGTCTAGTTTGTATAGGTTTTCCCACACCACAAAGGGGGAGCAGAAAAACATTTATCAAAAGATTGGAAAGTATTTATAAAGCCACAAAAATCGTCAAGGGGACTCAGGGGCAAGTGTCGCATGAGAAATTAAACGTTTTAAAAAGAAGATTCACTAGACTTCTAGCAGACACTGTCCTTTTTAAAGTGACGTGCTTAGGTTTACACAGGAAGTGTGTTACAGCGCGAGGATCAGAACCCTTGCAGTCCAGTTTACAGCCTTGTGTTTTAAACCACTAGACTATGCTTTCCCCTTTAAGAGAACTGAACACAACTATGCTAGTTGACATGCAGTGATAATGCCACAAAGGTGTTACTACCTTCTGAAAAGGTTTACCCTTATTTAGCATCTGGCCCCGCCACCTACTCTCATTCTTTGAGAAACAGAAAAGAAATTCCCTTACATAGGAGCCATCTATCTACAGTAGTACCCCTCCCTAAAGGATATTGTATGAAAATCATCAACACAACTTTCATCAGACATACAAGTACTTCCTAAATATCACCATGAGCAAGCTCTGAAGATGCCACTTTTACCAGTGAGTTTATGGAAGAAGCAGAACATGTCCAACAGTCAATCCAAGTTACTAGAAGAAACCTAGTATATTGGATATATTGCTGAAAGTGACATTTGGACAAATTCATTGTTATAAGCAGCAGATAGTTTTTTATTTAAGCAGCAGAAGCAAAGGAAAGCTGAATAATTCATAGACTAGTTACAATTATGGAGTAAGGGCATATGTACTATTTTTTTAAGCTAGAGTGGTGGACAATACACATTTAATACATGAGAATTTGCATACTTGACAGGAACTTCAAGTTTCTGTTCCAACATGTGAAACAAGTTAATAATTTACACTTCTATAGCACCCATCAGGCAAGGAAATAATTGTATACCCTTTTTAGACTTGCAACAATATTGGGAATATTTAACCCATTTTGCAGATAGGGAAACGAACACAAGAAGTTAGTTTAATCTTGGGAAAGTCAGTTGTCAGTGGCAGTGCTAGGAACAGGACCCAGGAGTCCTGTCTTCCTCTTCCATACTCCAAACACTAGACCACATTGCATCCTAAAAATGAAAAATATTCAGGTCTGTCCTTTGCAACAAAAACTAAAAAAAGTCAGGATAACATGATCATCTGTAGTCTTAGCACATAATGAACCCGAGGATAGACAGCATACAGAATAGAATGGATGTCTATAAACCAGTTTTTTGGTGGTGATTATGAATAAAAAAATGTTTCCATATACTAAAGATTACTAATATAATTCTTATTTCATGTGATGTGTGTGTATGAAAAGCCTTAGACTGGCACAACAAGGATAAGATTTTCCAAAACGGCCAACGATTTTGGATACTTCCATTTTTAGGTGTTTAATTTAAGAAATCTTAAATTGAAAGGCGACTGATTTTCAAAAAGTACTAAGCACTTACCTTTTGCAAAACCAGTGCCCTTTAAAGGGATCAGATGGGTCACTTAAAAACAATGGAGGCACCCTAAATCATTAGTAACTTTTAAACCAACAACTTTTTCCCTCAATAGCTCTGAAGACAACAGTAAGATGCACCAAAACCACTTCCCTTTTTAATAGTCAGAGACAAGCTATCCCTCCTTACCTACATCACCCACACGATTATGGACACAAGAAGCTCTTACCACATGGAAGTAACCTCTAGAGAGTCAGCTGCTTAGAGAGTGCACCCCCTTTATGGTTTGCATCCACTCCTTCACTCAAGGTCATATTTCCCCATTTCAGTAATTAATCTTTTACAGCTTCTGCCACAACGGCAATACTCATGGGTAGAACAAGCAACAGCTACTTTTGAGGCTACAGCACCATGGCTGATCTTAAGAGGAATGCTAAATTGAAACACAAACCAACCCATTTCAGAGGTAGAGTATATACTTCACTCTTTTAGCCATCCCATAGATTAAAAAGTCCAAAAGTCTATTCCAAGTGATAATCTATGGAGCTATTCAACAGGCTATTTCCCCACATTTTATTGCACAGGTAGTTCAAATATGGAAGCATGACAGCAGGTAGCCACTCACCTTTTTGAGGTACTCATGTCAACAGGTTCATCACCTGTCTGCACCTCCACTTTAATAGTTGCTTTTACCTCCCCTCCTTTTAATAATCCTTGGACTTTCCCAGCTCCAGGATCAGTCTTTATTTTAATGTCACTTTCAGTCTTTATATCTGTTCCCAAGAGTCCTTTGTCCATTTTAATTTTTTTACTGTCCACGTCATTTTGGGTTATTTCTCGTTCTAGTGCTCGCTTCTGACTTCGTGTCCTGCATGCTTCCTCTGTCATTGTGAAGCTCTGGGGGGTTGGGGGAGGAAGAGAGAAGAAAGTGGGGGGGGGGGGGGAAGAGAAGAGAGAAATCAGTAAAATGCATTTTGAGAAAAATAAATCAACTGTTAATTTCAAAAAAAGGCCAAGATAGGATGGTGCTGCAAAAGAAGAAATCCTGAAAGAGCAATTAAAGTATTGCAGTGCACTTACTCACCCTATCCTTAGAGTAGATTTTAGTCTGAAGTTACTACAGAGTTACTCAACACTTTTTTATTTAAAGCAACTATAGTTGTAAAATGTAAACTCTAAAAATATCTTGTAACAGAATGCAGGAGATTGTACAGGAATACAACTGAAACGAAAAGTTTGGTTGTTTATTGAAAAAGGGGGAAGATTTTCTTTTTATTTGCCTCATGCAAATGAGGCAATTTTTTTCTACTTTTTAATCTAGGATTAGAGTTTTGGGGGGGATTTTTACCATGAATTTCTAGTACTTGTATCAGATTGCAAATTTCAGGAATCCAACGTTGTGGGGAAAGGACTACCATGCCCTGAGTGAAGAGAATCTCTTCCATGTTTCCTTACAGTTTGCCACTAGAGATTAAGGCACTGCCATTGTAATATTTAAGTTGATACTTTCTTCTCTCTTTAATTAATGAGCCAGGCTTTTCCACTCGCTGCACAGGAAGTGCTTAACTCCTGTGGGATCACAGTTAACTCGTTGTATGCCAAAGTCAGAAACTTTTGCTTTTGGTGAGCTTTGGCATTTCAGTCTGCCATTTCACTGTACCTGCAGACCCACATCTGATTAAAAAAAGCTGAGTCAGTTTTTGATCCCATGACATCACTGGGCTCCACATGACCCTTCCCAGGATTCAGTCTGAGAGACAAAGCACTTTCTAGAAAACCAGTCTGAACCGGTTCCAGACAACAAGCTGAAGTGTTGTTAACCCTCACAGAGACACGACAGCAAAAGCAGCAGCAGCAATGTGTCTGCAAGACTGCTGCTGGCATTCCAAAACACAAGTCTGGGAGAGCATCACTGCTCTTAAAGGGACAGTGCTTTTAATTTCACATTACAACACAGCAGTGCATCTATTATTCTGCTCGTCCCATCCCTTCAGGGAAAGCACAGCATTCACTTTTTATATACAAGTTTAGTGTGTTTGGAAGTGAGGGACAGTGGAGTAGTTCGTTATACCATACAATTTATTTCCTGTTCTATTTTACACCTCCTGTTCCCATCAAGTCACGGTCCTGTATCTACAGCATACCAGATTGTCATTTCAGACAGCTCTATAGGAAATGTTATGCAAGCAAAAGTAGACTCACAACAAGTTTCTTTACATAACTTTTATTTGGAAACTTAATATAAATGAATATTTTTGGCTAACTGACATCCGCTAGTTCACAATGAGGCCACATTTAAACTAAAATCTTGAAGAACAATGTGCTTTTAAATAGGAGACAGGTTGGGTGAACGTTGGTGTTCATGAAAGTGAGGGACTAACAGCACTGTCCAGGAAGAAAGCCAGGTGCTGTCAAGATTTTCTACATAGCTTAGCCAACAGACCTCCGTTCTAACATGCAGCAACCCCTGCTATTCCAGTTCTGGGCCTCATCATATAATTCTTCCAAAGCACCCCAGTTCTTGCCTGCAGCATCCTTACTGCTCCACTCTGAGGTAGCTCTCACAATGATGCCACAAAAAATGGCCCCACACAGACTAAAGCTTGGTCTATGCTTAAATGTTAGGTCAGCACTATGGTCAGTCACAGATGTGAAAAAAAATACACCCCCCCGCCCCCCACTGACACAGCTATGCTGACCTAATCCCCCAGTGTAGAAGACAGCTTCTGTTGATGGGGCTAATTTTGTTTGGAGAGGTAGTAGTCGGTCCTACACAGACCGAAGGGGTGCATCTACATCACAGGGTTATGCCGGCATAGCTATGCTGGCAGTTTCCATTGAAATTTGAACCCAGGCCTCAAGACAGAAGGCCACTCTACTAATCCAATATATTGTCTAGTCTGCTTATACTAGAGTTTTTGTTTTTAATGTAAACATGCTGACTTTCTTGGTCAGTATTTTAAAACAAGTGTACTCATTTTATTGGCCATCTGCATTATAATAAGGAAGGCTTGTGTTTATTTTCAATTTTCTTATTCTGTAGTCTAGCAAAGCTGGAAGTGTAGCAGAGCTATGGTGTCACATAATTAAACCCTCTTGCCAGTGAAGCAAGACTGACTCCTAAAGTAATCTGGACCTGATTTTTGGTGAGAGATTGCTTTACATTCCTCCCAGACCTTAAAACACAAAGAAGATGAATCAGAAGGGAGTGGGAGGCAGGTTTCACGGCTCTGAATGGCAAATCAAGACCACCACCCCCCCCACCACCACCACACAGAGAATAAGTTAAAAATCTCTAGCAGATCCAGTCATACCACATGCTCCAATAAAGTGCTAAGGCAAAGTGTCTAGTAGTTAGAGCACGGGACAAGGAGCAGGACTCTTAGGTTCTATACCCAACTCTTATATGGACACATTGCATTACTGTGGGAAAGGCACAACCCTCTCACATGGTCTTCTCATGTCTCTCCAAATACTCATAATACATATGGATGTGGAAGCAATGAAAGACAAGGTGGGTGAAGTAATATCTTTTATTGGCCCAACATCTATTGGTGAAAGAGACAAGCTTTCAAGTTTACACAGAACTCAAGAAGAGCTCTGTGTAAGTTTGAAGGCTTGCTCTTTCATCAGCAGACGTTGGTACAAAAAACACACAACACACCCCAAACTTATGAGTATGATATTTATCCAGCTCAGAGGCATCTTGATACTGAATGTCAAATACTAAAAAGTGTAAAATTGTCATGGTGGCGGAAGAGACAAATGAGACCATTCAGTGGAAACAGCCTCCTCTTGCATATAAACCCCTCTTTTGAAAATGAGGACGCTCTCTCACCCACAGCTCTCTTACCCACAAGTGTCCAGTGGAAGAAATTGGACACCAAAAGCCCGTTTTGCATAGATACTGAGCGCCTGCAGCTTCCTTTGACCTCAACTGAGTTTTCATTGCTCAGCACCACTGAAAAGTCAGGTCCTGTATTATGCTCAAATGTACTCCAAAATGTTCACTATTTCAGTTTTCATTTTCTCCAGTTACATGATACGTGGGTAAACCCAAGTGTTTTGAATAGCCTTTGTGATTCCACAATATTTTAAATGTCACACATGAACCCTCGTTCTGCAAATGCCTATGTTTTCAAGTTCTACGCATTATTCTCTATGGCATGTAATACCATAAGCAACAAAAGGAAACTCAACTCTCTCATATCTGCACTCTGAACTCTCTTGATGCACCTGCCCCCATACATTTTAGAGCAGAATTCAGAGTCTTGGTTCGCAATTGGTTAACAGCTTTTAGATTAGATCTAGTTATTTCAGAGACCCCCCCCTCATTTCTTCTAACCCTCCAGGATAGATACACTCCAGCTATCAGGTGCTGGGGGCAGAGTGTTTTCCATGGTGGACCTCCCCATGCACCATCTCACCAACAGGTCAAATTGAACCCAAACTTGACAGTGTCCACATCAAAATGGGAGATTCACCTTTTCAAGGACACTTTTCCCAGTATTTTGTTCTGCATGATCGATACCTTAGACCAGTGGTTCTCAAACTTTTCTACCGGTGACCCCTTTCACATAGCAAGCCTCTGAGTGTGACCCCCCTTATAAATTAAAAACACTTTAAAATATATTTAACACCATTATAAATGCTGGAGGCAAAGCGGAGTTTGGGGTGGAGGCTGACAACTCGTGACCCCCCCCCCATGTAATAACCTCGCAATCCCCTGAGGGGTCCTGACCCCCAGTTTGAGAACCCCTGCCTTAGACATTCAATCAGGCCCAAATTCCTTTTTTGTTTACTGAACCCACCACTTCAATTTTTTTTTCTTGAAAAGAAAAAAATGTCATGTCATATGTAGATTCTCTCACTTCCAGGCTACACTGGCTCTCCTCACATAGGGCTTAAAAATCACAGAGCCATTTTCTAGCATGGACGGGACTTTAACTGTGGCCACTAACACAGAATTAAGTTTTAACTATTTCAGGGAACAAAAACTGTTGTAACTGGATTCCTCAAAATGGTTATAAATGTAGGCCAGACTTGTATTTAGCTTGGCATGGGAAGGAGGGAAAGGAAATAAATCAGGAAAGTTTCTTAAAGAAACTTAAGAATATAGTTTCCCAGGGGAAGAGGTAGAAACACCATAACTTGAGTAGAGAGTCTGTAAGGAACAATCCTGCAGGAGTTTGAAGGAATGATTGTCTTTTCCATCAAACCACAATACAAAAGTATATCACCTGTATGTTTTTGATAAAACAATACACAGTGAAATTGTTGACATTAGGCTTCAGGTTAGTATGCAGTTGAAATAAATTGGCAATTCACACTTTTCTGAGCTATTGTTTCACTCTGTAGACTTTTTGGATAACAACAATGCATCTTTTTACATTGGGATAGTTATTTCCCCAGCACTAAGGGCTAGAATTAATTTTTTCCTGAAGGGGTAGATACATAAAAACTATTGGAATCAGGGCCGGCTCCAGGGTTTTGGCCGCCCCAAGCAGCCAAAAAATAAATAAATAAATAAAGCCGCGATCGCGATCTGCGGCAGCAATTTGGCGGGAGGTCCTTTGTTCCCAGCGGGAGTGAGGGACCGTCCGCCGAATTGCCGCCGAATACCTGGACGTGCCGCCCCTCTGTGAAGCGGCCGCCCCAAGCACCTGCTTGCCAGGCTGGTGCCTGGAGCCGGATTGTTGGTCCAACTCACTCTGGACTGTAATAAATTTACACCATTCAAATGTATTTTGAAAGCTAGAAGGGGAAAACTAGGATTACACAGAAGTTCTTCTCGCTCTCTCTCGCACATATGCGCATTACAAATTTGCACACAGCAATCCGACGGCCCTTTCACTGAACTGTCCAAAACATTTGAGACACAAGATGGGTGAAGTAATCTCTTTTATTGGTGAGACAAAAGCTTTGTAAGCTCTAAAGAGCTCTTCTTCAGATCTGAAGAAGAGCTCAAAAGCTTCTGTTTCTCACAAACAAATGCTGGTCCAACAACAGATCTTACCTCGCTCACCTTGTCTCTAATATCCTGGGGCCAATACAGCTACAGAAACAAAAATAAAATAAAAAGGTCTTTTGGATCAGAAATTTATTTATACTAGTAGGTCAAATACCAAATATCTATGGCACCAATAGCATTCCCACTGGCAAAAACAGCAACAGAAATGTTTCCTGGAACCTGCCAAAAGTTCTTCCCCAATTCCCTTCCTTCCAAAAAACAAAAGGAAAAATACAAGACAAACCTGGTTTGAATCAGCCAGTGTCTTTTCCAACATGGATGTGTATGAGAGACTCCTATCACATACTGCCCAGAACGCCTCCCACTTGCAAAGATGACAAAAAGGATTGCGAGATCCTGGAACAATTATCTGCTCGCTTTCTTTTGCCACTGTAGGGGAAAGTGATAGAACAGGAAAAAGTAGATGAGTTCCAGTTTAAGACTTGGGAAATTTGTGCTTCCCCCCCCAGGTGTGCAGTCCAGCCAGGAATAACGAGATTCCCAGTGACAATAGTCTATTTGAAGACCTTGTATACTAAAGTCCTGAAAGACTTAGCTAAACAAGCATATATCTGCTTCAGGGAGGTGGGGAAAGAAATCAGAACTTTGCTTTGTTATATTCCAAGACACACTGCAAATTAAAGTAAAAAATTGTCCAGTTAAAAGTGGTCTGATCTGCTTCCATAGTTCGGGAACCTGGCCAGAGCTCACTTCCAAAAAAGTTCTCTCTCCAGGTGGCAGGCAAAACAAAGCAACCACACCACCACCTCACACCCCATATAACCCACCGCACCCTGCTAAAATGCCAGCCCACTTTATGGGGGATTTCCAGATTCACACTAGTTGTAAACAAGATCAATCCACACTCTGGCCAAAACCTTTCAAGCTTCTAACAAATATCAGTACGGTCACATCTACGTTACCAACTGTGCAAGCTGCATCAGAATACGGCTGCCAAAATTTGTACATCCCTTGGCTGCATGCAGACTTGGCTGCTTGCATAGGTGCTGCATGTACTCACCAGGTGCGCCTGTGTTGGTGTAAAGTACTCCGCACCAAAGGTAGGTATCCTAATGTGTCATGCGCAACCAGCTGGCACAATACCTTTCCGGAAATTTTTGCAATGTATTGTGGGACAGAAGTGATTTGTCCAGAGATCTCTGGGAGCTAGGGATCAAAATTCCCAGCATGCAATTTTCTGCATCCCATAGCACCATCAACATTGC